CCACCCACGTGGGCCTTCAGCACCTCCAGTGCCCCAGCTCTTCCTCCTGCTCTGCCCCAGCTCCTCCAGTTGTCGGGACCTTGTCCTGCCTCTCCTCTTGCTCCGAGTGCTCTCCCTGGGCCTCCTCGCCCAGCCCCAGAGAGCCATCAGCCCTGCATGGCTGACCTCCTCGCCTATGTCCTGGGCGTTTCCTTCAGCCTTCAGCACATGTATCCCATGTGGACATGAGACGTTTATGTGAGCGAATGCGTGAATGCATGGGTGAAGGAAGCATCTACTGAACACCCGAGCCAAACGCCTACGTGCCCCTGGGTTGCCTCGAGCATTGCCCACCCACCAGCCTCTGAACAGGTAGCACCTGTTCACTAGACTCACCCCGGGGGCCTGTTATGAATGCAGATTCTGGGTCCCACTCATACCAAGACTGCGAGTCGGCAGCGAGGGGTCCAGAAGGTGCTCTCTCTTTTTGCTTTTGGAACATGCATTCTAACAAGCTCCTGGGCTGTTCTGATCAGGTGCTCAGATTACACGTTGGCAAACGCTATACCGAACTGGGGTCTTTCCAAGATACAAATCTGATGGTGTCTTCCCTGCTTCAGTGGCTCCCCACACCTGCAAGATATAATGTGATGGTGGCAGTGCCCTGGCCTGTGTCCACTTTCATAGCCACACACAGGTAACGAGCCTCAGCTTCTCTTGCTCTGCCTTTGCATTCCCATCTCCATCAGCCAGGAATGCCCATCCCAGCTTCCTCCTTGGCCAACTCCTACTCATCTCTCAAGGATGAAGCTCAGATGAACCCCTTCTGAGAGTCTTCTCTGACCTCCAAGGTCAGTTTCTTGTCCTCTACCCTCCCATATCACCCTGACATAAATTCTCTATTTCATTTTATTTAACAAACACGCACACAGTGATTACTGTGCCAGGCACTATTCTAAGTGTTGTATGAATATCAGTTTACTTAATCCTTTGCCGGCCTTATGAAATAGGAACTCTCATTATCCCCATTTTACAGATGAGGAAACTGAGGCACAGAGAAGGGAAATAATGTGCCACACAGCTGGCAAGTGGAGGACAGGGATTCGATCGAGGCAGTCTGGCTCCAGAGTCCATGTTCTTTCTCATGCTGCCGCCTCTGACGGGTCCTAGCACATTGCACACTGTGTCCCAGGCACCTGCTCCTGACTCTCCACTAGACAGAGAGCTTCTGCAGCCGGGGAGAGATTAACCTCCCAGCCCAGGGCCTCGCAAACTGCAAACTCAGGGAAGCTCCGCTGAAGGACAGAGCTGTGCATGCTCATGACCCGGGATCGACAAGGAACACACAAGTCGCAAAACCTGAGTCTGAAGTGACTTCAAATGGGATCAGGTGCAATGAGCTGCCTAATAGTCTACTCTTCAGAGTGGCGCTCCAGAGGCGGCATACCACCCGCTCCACCTCCACGGACGCTTGACTGAAATGTGTCTCCATGGCCACGCAGAACAGGCCCGACTCCTCCTGCAGAAAGGGCTCTTCCCTACTGCACACAACCCTGGCTTTCACTTCTGCAGGGCAATTACCTGGGGATCGGATTCTCCCTTGGAACCTGCTCTGGTCAATTGGGCTGAGGAAGGTGACCCCAGATATAGGTGCCATGTGCCAATTTAGATTAACTCCTACCACAGCCAATGAACTCTGATAAAAAACAAAGTAAAGTATGATGTATTACACACACACACACACACACACATGCACATGCACACGCACGCACGCACACACACTAAAGTAACATAAGCCTCTGCAGCCTCTGAAGCAGCAAGAGCCCTGGTTTCTGAGGACGGTGGGACTCTGTACTGTTGCTGAAAAGGTTTATGCTGATTAGGCTTCCGGAGCCAAGGGGTTTCCCACAAGCTCCCTGTTCTCACACCAACACTGCAAAGCAACAACCATGATCAACTCCATTTTACAGGAGAAACAGAGGCTCCAGGAGGTCAAGCTTGCCCAAGGGCACACGCTGCTAAGAGGCAGAGCATCCTTCAAACCCAGGGTGCTGACTCCAGAGCCTGCCTGCTCCTGTGCCACTGTCATTGGGGGAATGCGGGTTGGAACAGTGACATGAGCATGAAACGAGCGCCCAGGAAAGGCTGCTCAAAGCAGGAAAATGGACGATTACACATGAGCAGAAAAACAATGATCGTTCACGAGTCCTCACAGCCTGGTGGCCTTTCCCTGTTGTGCTCAAGGAGTCCCTCAATCTGCGGTGTTACTTTCCCCCCTTGTGCTCATTTTAACCGGAATAATAAAGATATTCATGCCTAGCTGCTCCCTTCTACAGTTTAAAAATCAGGAATTTTGGAATGTCCCTATTTCAAAACTCAAAAACATCAAGGACTTGAAAATACAAAATGAATGATTTTCATTAAAGGCTATTAGCATATAGCAAGATATTAGTACCACTTAAACATATTTTGAGAAACTATGAACTGCATCTTAACCTTTTTATATCCTTTCTCTACCACCTCTACTCCTGACATTTAGAGAAATGCCCAACACACATAAGCCCTTAATAAATATATGTGGGTTCATGGACACACTTTTTGTATCAAGGGAGAGAAAAATGCTTATTTGAAAAACCCGATTTTTAAAACTGAAACCTATGTCATAACTTTCTCATGTTCAAAACATCAGAAAAAGAAAATTACCAACAGGACAAGAGAAAATACACAATCATTTGCAGAAGTAAAACTGTACTGTTTACTTAAAGCATGAGAAAACCAAGTTATATCTGATTGCCTCAACCATATCCCTTAAAATAATTGTAAGTGCTAATTTGATATTCAAAAATTAGTCAAAAGAAATGGTGAAGAAAAAGTCCCTGTATTTCAGGGTAGGAATAAAAACGTAAGTGGAACTCAAGCATCTATCTTCGTTTCATAAATTAGTGAAGTTTCTAACACCATAAAAATTAGCAACCAACCAAGCAATTAAATAAAGCAATTACACTCCATTGCCACAGACATGGGTAAATGCCAAAATTACATGTTACCTAGAAGCAGAAGAGCAGCCAGAGCATCCATATCTCAATAGCTTTCCGAACGGCAACGCATCCAAGAAGGAGAGAGCTCAGACCCAAGCAGGCTAATTTACCCTGAAAAATTTTCCTTTCAGAAAGTATGGCTGAAAATTGGCTCTCCTCAAACAGAAGGGACTTTCACAAGAGTTATATAAGCAAAACACACAGGCCAATTCAGTGACGTGGGCACCACCTCATGCAAAAGCAACGCAGCCAACACAAGTAACCCCCATTCACGTCCCAGCTCCCGGCAGCTTTTCAGAATAAAAATCCAGGCCGATTGGAACTTCCCATCTCTGCAACCCAAGGATGGAAAATTTTTAATGAAAAGTTACACACAATTAAACAACCGAGAGTCCTAGCACACTTTTTGGAAAGGATTCCTACTTTACGGCTCGTTAACCATCTGGAGTATCTTTAAACTTCCTCCGTGCGCCTCATCTTGAAGGCTTTTCCTATTCTGGATGGATAAATGAGTCCTTTAAATTCTTTCTACGGTTAGAGACAGGCTGTCCTATGCACCAGATGGGTGCATGGAGTCGGCCACAAACTGGAGGTGAATCAGGGAAACTTGCTCAAAGCCTCCTCTCTTCAAACCACTTTTTCCAAATGCCAATCTTTCCCACGTTCGTGGAACACCCCACTCGCCAAGCCATCTGCTCGTTTTCCATCATTCAAACTGCGGCAGAAATGCCACCTCCTCACAGAGCCTTCCTCGGCGGTGATGGGTGCCAACCACTTGTCTCCTGCCCATGAGGGTGAGGAGGTAAATGGAGGGAAGGCAGGTGACAGCAGGAACACCATTCCCAGCATGGCGCAGATGGGGAGGGGGAAGCAGGGTCAGCCTGCTTTTCAGAGCAGCCGGAGATTCATTCATTCACCTAACAAACAGCATGAAACACCTACTGTGTGGTGGGCAGTGCAGTTCCTCGGGTACCGAGGGAAACAAGGTGTGGACCCCTCTCTCAGAGAGCAGACAGTCGTGTAGGAGGAAAAGATACAGGAACTGAAAATGATGATAGCGCACGGTTAGTGCAAGAAGGAAACAGAGTCAGGACGATGTACATCAAAGAAGCACCAGACTCAGCTGGGGGCCCTGGAAGGTTCCTGGAGGCGAAAAGGGCTGAGTGAAGGGGGAGGTGGGGAGGTATGGAGGTGAGGAGGAGAGCACTCCAGGCAGAGGGGCCGGCGGGATCTGGGCACAGAACAGGCTGGATATGGAGAGAATGCCAAGCAACTGGGCAAGGCTGTGTCATCAAGTCCAAGGTGAGAGAGGCCACAGGATGGCGAAGGGCCTCCGAGACCACGGGCCATCGGTGAAAGGTTACAACCAAGGGTTGTAGGGCCGGATCTGTGTTTGAGGACGGTGCACGGATCTGGGCCCAGCCTGTCCCAGTGAAGGACCAAGTGCTGGGCAGGGAGATCTGGGGCCTGGCTTCACCGGCCGAGCTCTCGCCTCGCCACACGCAATTTCCCTGCTGCCCAGGGGGCTGAGTTTCATACCTAATGCCCCCACCGTCCCCAACAACTCCCACCCACTGCCCACTGAACATAAAATAGACACCAACCCGCCAAGAACCAGCCAGAAGGTCAAATACCTCAGCTCGGAGTGGCTTGGCATGACGAGAAAACAAGCTGGGCCACTCGGCGTCTCTGGGAAGCTAAGAATCCGGGAATAACCAGGCAGTTTAGGAATCTGTGCAGAAGCCAAAAATGGGCCACAAGGCCTAGTGAGCGCTCTTGTCCCTCGGCCAAGAAAGATGCCGGAACAATTCAGGGGTTTAGGATTCCTGCTCCCTGCCATCCGCCATTAGCACCAGTAATAAAAAGACTCAGTTGTTTTCAACCCCAATGTCCACTTGGACGACAGGGGCTTTGGGCCCACTTGCTCGCCTGGAGGGCCCTGTGTTTCAGAGTGAGCGCCCCCACCCCCTCCAGGATACTCACAGAACTGCAGGCTGAGGCTCAGGAGGGCCAGCAGCGCAGCGAGCGCCAGCAGCAGCAAGAAGCGATTGCGGAAAAGCATTATTATTTGTTCTGTCTCCTCCTCATGGTTTCACCTCAAATCGGGAACATGCCCTGTGAATAAAGCAGAGGCAATAAGCATGTGTTCTGAGCTGGAGTTTGGCAACTGATGAAAATAATCCAATTAGTCCAGGCCTCCGGCAGGCAGACGTGAGTCCTAGCTGGAGAACAATGGGGAGCTTCGGGTTCCGTCTCTGCCCCCAAATGAGGCCGCCAAGAATGGGTCTGTCAGATTAATAAGAGGAAACCAGTTCGTGAATGGTTCGTTTATCTGATATCAACCGGGAATGAGATACTTTACAGGGTGACCTTTCCAAAGAAAAAGGTAAAGGAAGTTTATTGAGCACTTATTAGTACAGTGTGCCAGACAGCGAAGTGTTTCCGGGACCAGCTCATGCTCACCCCATTCTGACCCCCAACTACTGTCTGTGTGTGTCTGTCTGTCTGTCTGTCTCTTTCTCTCTCTTAACTACCCTAGCTCCCAGTCTTATGTTCTTTTTTAAAATATATTTTTATTGATTTCAGAGAGGAAGGGAGAGGGAGAAATAGATACATCAATGATGAGAGAGAATCATTGATTGGCTGCCTCCTGCACACCCCCTACAGGGGATTGAGCCCACAACTCAGGCATATACCCTTGACTGGAATCGAACCCGGGACCCTTCAGTTCCCAGGCTAACGCTCTATCCACTGAGCCAAACCAGCTAGGGCTGCCTCTTTTTTTTGATGAACGTTTTGCTAAGATGACTCTGGTCTTCTTTATTTTTAACATTAACCTGAATGCCAATCACTGAGATGTATGCCACAGTAATGTCTTTAGGGGCAGGTGGGGTGTACCTGAGGACTTGTTTTATAGAAATAAGCAGCCCTTTCTGCTAATTAGAGACCTTCCCCCCCACTTGACCATTGAGCTATTTCAGCTGCATCTACAGGTCTTCCTGCAGCCCCACCCACCTCAGAGCTGTGCACAAGGGCTCTAAAAAGATGTTGCAGAAGGCCCTACATGACCCTGCTGTGAAGGAAAGAAAAAGTGAATGTTCCCTATAGGTTTTTCCCCATCACTCTTAGATACCAAGTTTATTTCCTGGTCTCATTTGCATTTGAAGTAGAACTTGAAAAATCACACTTTTCAGAAAAGGGTCTTCAACTAGAATAAAATTAAAAGTCATTTCCAGCTGGATTTTATCAGCAGAATCTTTTCCACCTTCAAACACAACCTCTTTCAGAGCCCAGACAGACATGATCAGATACAAGCTCACCTGCTGACGTGGTGAGTGTGGCACCGCTTTGTGAATATACGAAAAACCACTAAATTGCACACTAAGTGACTTGTACGCTATGTGGATTCTAGCTCAATAAAGTTTTTTTTTTAATTTTGTTTTGTTTTTAAAGCCTATTTGCAGGGCATGAAACAGCAGCCAGAGCCCTGGAATCCCCTGGTCCCCATCCCCAACCCCACCAGGGCCCTGCAAAGGAGTCTAAGAACCACTCCTGTCAGGTTTATGTCAGAGAACATTTGCTAAAAGATTGACGTAAATACACATGTACCTAGCAACGGGGTCTGGACATCTGGCAACCAGCATTTCTGTTAACAAATAGATCCCAACTTTACACCTTCAAAGGAACACTGCTGCCGGCCCTTTCGTTACTGTCCCCCACTAAGGGCCAGAGCCTCGTGTGCCAGACATCTGCACCTCTTCCTGGGACTCCCCCCTCCTTGCCCGGTGGTGTCTCTTGCTTCGGCACCTCAGAGAGCAGACCTGCCTCTTAGTGGCTCTGACTTGGGCGTGGGAGGTCAGGGCCTTCCTTCTGGTGCTGGGCCACGTCTGGCCCTCAACCACTTCCTGCCTCCAGTCACTCGGGGGATTTTTTCATCACACTTACTGGCAGCTGCGGCTACTAGAACTCGGAAGCCTGCGCCCTTTGGTTTTAGCAGACACGGCCTTTGCATACGAGGATGAACCGCAAGATGGTCAGAGTTGTCTTCACGTGGGCATTAGGTGGAAACAGTGCTACTTGCTGAGGAACATCCCAGGCTGATAGCACGGTGGATTCGTTGCCGTGATGACCCCCAATTTGTTCGTGCCTTTCTGGATCAATGGCCTTGTGTAGTCTCCTCCCACATGGACTCTAAGCCTTGGCCAATGGGACAACAGCTAGTGAGCGACAAGCAGAGGCTTGGAAAGTCCTAATGTATTGGGGCTTGTCCTCCTTTGCTGCTTTTGAACTCTAAGACCACCATGTGAAGATACCGGACTAGCAGCTGGCGGATGACAGACCAGGTGCAGGCAGGGCTGCAAACAACCAGCCTGCCAATGCCCACACACGTGAGCGAGGCCATCCCGGATCATCCAGCCCAGCCACGCCACCAGCAGATGGTTATCAGGAGGGTCAGCCCAGACTAAAAGAACCATGTGGCCAACCCACTCAGCACAAGCAAATATAATGGTTGCTGTTTTAAGCCACTACATTCTGGGAGCTTGATATAAAACAAAGAAACTGATACAATAAAGAGGAAATGCCTAGCGCCTTTACTAGGAATTTCTTCTTTTCTTTTTTTTAAAAATTGATTTCAGAGAGGAAGGGAGAGGGAGAGAGAGAGATAGAAACATCAATGATGAGAGAGAATCATTAATTGGCTGCCTTCTGCACACTCCCTACTGGGAATCGAGCCTGCAATCCAGGCATGTGCCCTTGATTGGAATCAAACCCGGGACCCCTCAGTCCAGAGGCCGACGCTCTATCCACTGAGCCAAACCAGCTAGGGCACTAGGAATTTCTAAGCCAGGGTCTAGTCCCCACATCCTCATCTGCAGGCGTCATTTGCAAAGCTCCATCTTGTCTGCATTCTTCAATACACTGAGCGCTCTTTGGGGGGGAAAAAAAGGGCTATATTTAGTTCTAGACTTAAAATACTGAGGACGTGCTGGGTTAACCAGATGGCTGGGATCACGTGACTGCCTCACTGCTTTTAGTTTTCAGGCTACTGACATCTCTGCGTAGCTGATGCTGTGCACTTGATGACACAGGCCTCGATCTGGGAGCACCCCCCTCCCCTCGACACCGTCTGGGTTTCTGTGCCCCACTCCCCTTCTGACTCTCCCTTGGCAGCTGCCAAATGCCGGGTAATGGTCAGAGTCTCGCTGCCTCCGCTTGTGCGAGGGACCAGCGTGGTGTGATAAACACAGCCCTGGGAGTGATGAATACAGGCTTTACTCTGGAGCCTAGTTCCTTAGGTAACTAGGAGAGGAAGGCCATGCTTTGTTCTTAATTTTTAAAAAATGACTATAATGATGACATAATCCAAAGTTCACACGGACTGGAAGATATTTGTGTTTGCAGCTGGAACTAGGATGCCATCCAGTGTGTGTGTGTGTGTGTATGTGTGTGTGTGTGTGTGCGCACTCTACCCTTGTTCACGCCGTTCTGCCCTGGGGTGTGTCTTCACGGGGAACAATTCCTTGGTGAAAGAGACTGTCAGGAGCCCTTGACATGGCGGGAAGGGGACTGGCAGATCTGTGACCATTCCCGGCTCGGCCACTGGGTTTCTGGGTGCCCTCCTCACAATGGACTGACTTCACTTCTCAGGCTCTAGGACAGGGGAGAGCAAACTTTTTGACTCGAGGGCCACAATGGGTTCTTAAACTGGACCAGAGGGCCGGAACAAAAGCATGGATGGAGTGTTTGTGTGAACTAATATAAATTCAAAGTAAACATCATTACATTTAAAAGGGTACGGTCTTTTTTTTTTTTTTTTTAGTTTTATTCATTTCAAACGGGCCGGATCCGGCCCGCAGGCTGTAGTTTGCCCACGGCTGCTCTAGGATCTGCTCTTAAAAAAGAAGCGGGTTAAGGGCATAAAGAAGCAGGAGGGTGGTGAGGAGCAGCTGTCGTCACTCGCAGAACCGCGGCACGGAGTCGCTGTGCTGTGCTGGACTCCCCGGCGCTGGAGGAATCACAGGGACCCAGGGACTCGGTACCATCATCAACACACAGAGATCGGCCCTTTCCCCTGAGCTGCTGCTTCTGTCCCAGGCCGTTCCTCTTCCAAACCCTGGCCACTGGCCACTTCCCTGCTCCCCGGCCCAGCCCCAACGGTCAGGGCAGGCAGCCACGTTTGCAGCCGGTTCCTGGCAAGCCTTCCCCGGGTCTGACTCAGCTGTGACCCGGGGAAGCCCTGACCTTGCCGCAGGTCCTCCCGCCTGGAACATCCATGTCAACTTCTGTTGGGCCCCATCCTAAGAAGGAGAGATTACCGATTAAAACCCTAACTCCTGTAAATGGTGTACAGAATTTAGGGCTTTAAATATGACCATAACTGCTTGGAAGAAAAATGTACATTCAATGATCTCTCATTTGTGTCATTAAAATGCCATTACCAAGATAGAAAGGTGGTACTAAAGAAAATGCTTTAGATGTATTATGTACTTTTATTTTACTTCTTTTCTCTCCATCTCTGGCCCAAGCTCTGGCCCCACTCTCCATAGTCCCCTTTCTCTTTTTCCATCCCTAGCAAGGAGGCTCTGCAGCCATTCAGGAAGCCACACAATCTGTGGGTTCCTTCTGGCCATATTCCTTCCACGGGGGTCTGCATGCACACCCCTGGGACACTCTATCAGACCTGTCCAGTCACGCGAAGTGACAGCCACATCTCCGGGACCACAGCCTGCTCACGCGCAGCCCAGAGAATAAAGTCCCTGGGAAGATGCACTGCCCCCTCGGCAGGCAGAGACACGGGGATTGCCACCTCCCGCAGCATGGCTCCCTCATCTCCTAGTCCCAACACCTCTCAGGCCCCAGGGCCTTGCATGCAAAAGGTGCTCTAGACCCAATATGGCATCACGACCAAACCCTATTCCTATAAATACTTCCGTGGAAACAACTGTTTTGTGTCCAAGGCTGAACATACAACAGTGGCCAGTCATCCGATGTGGACTGGGCACAGCCTTAGTCCGATGTGCTAAGCCCACTTGGTAAAAATATCTTAAATCCAGAAATAAAATTGTTACTCCGAATTCCCGATGAAACGGCAACAATAAAACAGGCAACTGCAA